AAACAACACAGCTCCATGTCTCTCTGGGCCCACAAGTAATCATGATGCATATTGTTGCTGTACAGTAAAACCAATTTATCTCTATATATTGTCATTTTTAGGTTATTAAATAAACTATTATAATCCAAACGCTCTAATTTTCAAGTGAGTTCAAACTGTTCTTCTGTGTTGTAGACTAAAAAATATATATATATATAATTATTGTTATATATGTTAATATAAGTTATTGTTAAGTGACGACATGTGGTTCTGTAGTGTGGATAGAGCACTTGGTGTTTCAAATTTCAAGAACTAATTTTTCAATTTACAGCACAATGATGCTCAGCAGCCGATGAATCTTCATCTCTTATGTCCAGAATGTAAAGAAAATGCATTTGGTAGCGGATGTGAGTGTGGATTCTTACAGACATCCAACAAAAAGATTAATGATGATCACAGATAATATTACTCATGTTACAGCACTGTGCATGAGCAAATCAATATGTAACATCATCCACTGGGAAATTAAAAATGATTTTAGTTTATTTCTAATATCATGATCCAAGTTCCAACACATTCATCACATAGTATTATTCATTTTCCTTTGTGGTAGAAGAAGTAAATATGAGAGGATGGGGGAAGGAAAGGCAACATTTACTTCCTAGCTTTAGCTGTTTCATCTGTCTTTATAATTTATTGTTCTTATCATTAATGACCAGTGAATAATTTAGTAAATATACTGAAAAGGTTTGCATGATAGCAGCTCTTTATTCTAATAATTAGTATTATTCTTGAGACACAGTTGTACTTCGCAGTCATGTCAGCCTATAAGAACCCCACATATATTTATTATTGGAGGTATTGTCTCTGATGCTTGGTACATTTTCATTTTTCATATTTCATCAATAGAAAGGTTATAAATGGATTTATAATTAATACAGTTACATTTGTCTATAAGATTGACTCTGTAGTCAGATAACAGGTGTTTAGACAAAAGAGTAATCTGGGTAATTTAACAGGGGAGCAACCATTTCAATTATTGCTGCAAGACTATGATGGCATAAGAAATCTGCTGTTAAATATCAAAGAACAGAAAAAAAAGTCAAAATATTTACAGAAGCTTTAAATTTCAAACTTCAGCTTAAGACTTCTGTAGACAGGATCTGGATATTTCTTTTTCTTTTTCTTTTTCTTTGCTTGTATTTAAAGTGTGTGGGGTGAAATCTATCTGGACAATGTAACATTATCCTGTAAGTGAGACCTCGCTGTGTGACTCGATCCTGCATCGAAATCGTGCCCTGATGTCTTGTCACAGTTTAAACCTTTTAATCAAAGACTTGCAGGCAACATCAAATGCTGCATGTCGACCTTTAACATCAAAACTCTCCTTCCGTGTTTGTTCGCTTTCCTAACCCTAACCCTAATTAGCATTTGGATTAATGGGTTTTTTTGTTATTTTAGTTTATATCACCCACTTTTTAAAAAAACATAACATGGTAAATCATATTTTATTTTTTCTGTTGTCTGTATCAGATCACACTCAAATCCTTCTCATGTTGTTTTACCTGCATATTATGTAACTGGCCTCTCTTCCCTACACATGCTGAAATCTGCACATGGTCCTCACATTGTTTGCTTCCCCTACAGTCACCTAATTTATGACCTTGGCACCCATAGCAACTAGATCTGTGCACCATGTCATCTTCACATCTCTTTTTATGGGAGGGTTTCTGTGTGAGGTGACCTTGTGATCGGCAGATTGATAACAAGATACTTCATGTACAGCTATACGTTAGCTGGATGATCGTCTGTCACGCTGACGTCTGCATCTTCCCCCCTTTCCACCTTCTTCGGCTTCGGACTCCCATCGCAGTCCTAGTGTGTGTGTGTGTGTGTGTGTGTGTGTGTGTGTGTGTGTGTGTGTGTGTGTGTGTGTGTGTGTTCTGGAATTTTCCACACCCTGTCATATTGCTCTCTAGATGCCCTGTAGATCACCTGACCCACTCACCTGCGTGCTCAGCTGTCCCTCAGGCTTTTTTCACAGCAGACATTTTGACTGGTCACAGTAGGAAAATCACAGGTGTTACTAATAAATGAAGAATGGCTCTGTTCTCTTCAGGTGTCCCAGGGAGTCCTGACAGTGTGCAGTGTGACAGCGAGCCAGCATGAACAACGAAGCTGCTAAATGCAATTCAGTCATATATAATCTGTAATTGTATTATTTACACCTGTCCTGTTCTTACTCTGACATGTCTAAACATCTGTCATTAAAGAGGCCTATTATGGCCAGTTTTCTGGACCAGTTTGCCAGATTCCCTGTTGCCTTTCTGTTGTAGTGCCAGCTGTGTTATAGTCTACCCTGCCTGTTACCAGTTCACCTGCTACCTGCCTGTTGTTTGTGTCCTGGCTTAATTTTCCTGTTTTGTCTACGTGATTCTACCTGGTGCCAGATGTAACCTTCAGCATGGACCAAGTAAACTGCCCATAACAGTGGCGGGCGTACATTGAGTCTGTGTTTGAGTCCAGTTATCCCAACTGTGGCAGCCAACAATACAGTGAGTGTAGCCAGTATAGTTGATTTAATATGCACTCACTGGATTATGTCAAAATCTACAATTTCATATATATATATCCCAAGATTTTAAGTTTTAAGGGTTGCAGCTTCCTAAAAGATTGCGTTTGATAAAAAATACCTGTAAATAACCTGTAGCCCGGAAACATTCCAGCACAGAAAAACTGTGGGCCAACACATTGGACAGAAAGTGGGAGGAACCAGGGTTTAACAGAGGCCCAGCTGCTTATTTTTGTCTCGTAGCAGGTTAATGTGGCCACAGTTCCTAAGCTAAAAAAAAAAATTGCTGAATTCTTACAAAGACCAGCTGGTCAATACAAGATGAAAGAACCGGCAAAGAGTCTGAATTATACAACTAGTCACACTGCTTACATACTGTATATCTTAATCATGACTTCAAGTGTTTGATCCAGTGCACAGGACAGGACTCAAAGCTGTTTATGTTAACCACATGCTGAGCATACTGCTCCCAACTCTCCATATTGATCCCCTCACACACTGCTGCATGCACATCACGTCCCGAGCCAAAGACTGCTGCAGCTGCAGTTCACACACACATACACACACCATGAGTGTTTGCCCTGTCCTTCACCAGAAGATGAACCAGAAGGAAGGGCTTCGTCATTAAACACATCATCGCACTGAATAAGCCATCGCTGCTTAATGCGCCTTTAAAGGATAGAAAAATTAAACCGTCCCTGAGGACACCACACACCCCCCTCCACCCTCCACCCTGCACCCTCCACCTCCTCTTTTGTTTTAGAAAAAATGAGAAAGGAGAACACAAAGGGGCAATCAGCTTTTAGAAAATCCTCCTCCTCATCTCAAAGACAAATCATTTCCCAGATGTTTACAGCACTGCATGGCAATCAACATACTTAATAAGGGGGGGGGGGTGTTCAAGTAGTGTGGCAGTTGGACCGTCCTGAACATACATGTATCTGCACCAGGAAGTTTCAATATGGCCAGAGATGCACACAGAGCAATGTATGCATTAAAAACTAATTCAACATTTACATTCCAACTAGAACCTGGACAAAAATATTTGATGTAATCTTACCAATAGTTTCATGTGGAAGGGAGGTCCGGGGCCCGCTCATTGGATTGGAATATGGCTGATGGGATAAACACCCAGTGGAGGAACCTCCGCACTGAATTCTGCCGAAAAACTCTCAACGTTCAAAGGAAAACGCCAAACAACAGCTGCAGAGCTGAAATATTTCCTATTCCCATACAGAAACAGGCAATAACATTATGGACACATCTTAATTTAAGAAACTAATCCCCTCAGTCAGCTGATGGTGAAGTTAACTAACCAAGCTCCCATCAGCTCTGCTTCAAAACAACACAACAGAATAAAACTAAGTATGAATCACACCCTAAACAGAGAATATAAATTGGCTGAGTACCTCCACTCTGTCAGAGATATGAAGCAGAGATGAATCCTGACCAAATACAGGCCCAATGTTAACCTGAGAGGAGATTTGTATGGTATTAAATGATTGTATTAAACTGTATAAAATAGCTTTGTATTATATTGAATTATATTGTATCTGATTGTATACAAATCAAACAATGGACTGCATCAGTTTATCAGCATCAGTATGTGACACATGTATTTACTATTGCATGTAACCCTTATTTCTTGATCGGTAGTGTTCCCCAGACTCTCTGGGCTGTGGGTGACAAGAGGGCTACAGTTTTCTTTTAGCTGTCTTCTACTGTCTGTTGTCTACTGTCTTTATTCTGCCCTCTTAACAGGACATGTGCAACTCACAGACTGTCACATTCACACCTGTCTGCCTGCAACAATGGCAGGTGGGAACCAAAAGTTGTGCTAAAACTTAAACGTTACACTAAAAAATTATATATTTGAAATAATAAAGTACTGCAAATGATAATGAAACTCAATTAAGTAATAGTAATTAATAATATAATAACCTCAAATAATATCGCACCACTTATTATACAACACAAATTAATATGATAAACTTTTAATCAAAATAATCCAAATGTGTAACGTAAACTGCTTTGCTTTGTTAACATTTTTTTGTTCATGCCAATAAAGCTACTTGAATTGAACGGAAGGGAGCGAGAGAGAGGGAGAGAGAGAGAGAGAGAGAGAGAGAGAGAGAGAGGGAGAGAGAGAGAGAGGAAATGTGACACACCCCCTGCGCTGCTGTTGGCGCCCCTCAGATCAACTATCAGATGGTTTCCTCATCAGTGAGGACCGCAGACTGGCTTTTCCGGTCATCTCGAGCTGTGCAGTGAGTTCGCCTGTGAGTCCCGGTGATAGACAGGAGGGACCACTGATCACCGCTGATCGCTGCTGCTGCCGCTGCTGCTGTGATGAGGAGGACGACACTGTCCTGTGGCGGATCATCTCCAAGACTGGACTGTTGAAGACCTCTCCTCACCTCCACCCTCCACCCACCCCTCCCCCCTTTTCTCTTCGGATCTTAAGAGAGCGACACAAGGTAAAGGCGGAGACACTTCAGCCTGCTGGGACAAACGTGTCTGACACAGGGAGGAGATCTGATAATGGGATAGTGATGTGGGGAGGAAACTGACAGCGGTGTGTGTGTGTGTGTGTGTGTGTGTGTGTGTGTGTGTAATCTTTTCGGCTGTATACAGAGTGTTGTCATTAATTTGAGGGCGAGATTAATGACAATAATTCATTACTGGCGTTATGGTGACAGTTTCTGCTAAGCAACCACAACTTTTTCACCCTGACCCAGCTGCTGCAGTGCACCCCTGGGTGCATTAGGGAATGACTAGCTGTCGGCATTAATGCCATATTAATCTGCATCTTCATCATCTCGCATGAGCTTCAGTAAAACAGTGGTGATTTATTGATCTCTTACAGCTCCAGGATTACGTGAACAGGCTCCCACAGTTTATGATCCTGACAGGATGGGGGACTCACTCTGCATTTCCCATCGTGCCACTGGAGCAGCGCTCAGGAGAAGGAGCTTTATCACAGTTCTACCTTTTGCTTTACTGTTACCAACAGTGAGAGTCAGTGCACAGTTAATGGGAAGCCCCCTGGACTGCCACAAGATCTGTGTGTGCGCCAGCAACATCGTCAGCTGCTCCAAGATGAATCTAACCAACATTCCCAGCGCTCTTCCACAATATACAGCGGTTCTGGACCTCAGCTTCAACTCCATCACCAGGCTACGTGCTGAGTGGACCCCTGTCACACTCAGCAGACTGCACACTCTGCTGCTCAGCAACAACGGCCTCAATTTTCTGTCCTCTGAGGCCTTTGTGCATGTGACAAAGGTTCAGTACCTGGACCTGTCCTCCAATCGCCTCCACCTGCTGGACGAGCTCATCTTTGAGCCGCTGGAACACCTGAAGGTGCTGCTGCTTTACAACAACTGCATCTCTCAGATAGATCGCTCTGCTTTCTCTGGCCTCCTCAGTCTGCAGAAGCTCTACCTGAGCCACAACCAGATCTCCCGCTTCCCCTTGGAGTTGGTGAAAGAGCGGAGCCGGCTGGAAACTCTTCGACTGCTGGATGTTTCCTCCAACCGAATCAAAGTCCTGCCCCTGCATGAGCTTCAGGCTCTGCCCGCCTGGATCAAGAATGGTCTGTACTTCCACAACAACTCTCCTCCCTGCAGCTGTGAGCTGTATGAAGTGGTGGCACGCTGGCACCTCAAGGAGCTCAGCTCTGCCACTGACTTCAGGAGGAACCACACTTGTGTGTTGCCAGGGCCGCAGAAAGAGAAAATGGCCATAATGGATCTGAACAAGGTGAATCTGAACTGCAGTGAGGTCACAGCTATGGATAAAGAAGCCTATCTGGAGCAGTTCCTGGTGTTGGACTGTGACACCAGGCAGAGGGACATGAAGAAGAGCTGGGCGCTGCCTGGAAACATCCCACTGTCTTCAGCAAACAAGACTGCTGTGATGCGTCTTGACGGCAACCTCCAGATCGGGCCCCTGAGGACAGACGACTCAGGGGTCTACACCTGCTTCGCCACAAGTGACTCCTTCAACGAGACACTGTATGTAACTGTAGTGGTGTTTAATTCCACCATGAACGGTGGACTGGAGAACCTAAAAACGGCCTACACCACCCTTGTTGCGTGTCTGGTCAGTATAGTTATGGTTCTCATCTACCTCTATCTCACACCCTGCCGCTGCGCCTGTTGTCCAGGTCAAGGCCTGGAGAAAAACGAACCCCAAGACAGCCTTCACTCTTCAACCGTCAGCATCTCTCAGGCACACGAGGAGACGGAGCAAGAGAGAGTGGAAGGCGGAGGCTTCCCCTACAGACATGTGGGCTTCCTGGAAATCAAGGACCAGCTGGAGCAGAACGGGAGGTTGAATCCAATAGGTGAGGAAGACGAGGAGTGGCAAGGGGACAACAGGGAGAGAAGGAGGTCAGACGCAGAGTCTGTTAGCTCTGTGTGCTCCGATACCCCCATGGTGGTGTAAGAGTCAGTGACAGAGCCTGCAGGGTAAGTCAGTGATGTGCTCGATCCATGCAGCTGCTCCACAGGGATTTGAACGTGAGCGAGATTCAAACGTTATTATATTCCACACAAAGTTAAAGCTTCAGTTGGCCTTCACAGTTGGTGGCACTGTTTCAGTCGCATGTACTGTTGATATTTCAGCTCATACTCTATTTATCTCATACAGGACTGAAATTGAAATGATTATTATTACTTAACATTGCAAAAGTGGCATTTGTGATGACACAGGAATAACTATATTTTTGTGAGGATATATCACAAATTAGTCCTTTAATTAGTTTCACTAGTCTCACTTTTTACCACAGTTACACTTGGCTTATCCTGCAAGAAAATCACTATGCAAGTAAGTACATTTTTGAGTTTAAAATTATACAAACAGCATGAAAACATTTCTGATGTTATTCCTCAGTTTAACTTGCCTCTGAATATCCTGAGGCTGCACGTTAAATACAAGTTATCCAGCTTTTTTATGCACGGGGGAACCTTGGCACTGCAAAGATGAGAAGTGTTGAAGATGGTGGACAGTAGCTGCTGCCTGAAAGAGGAACTCATTTTTATGCAGAGCTCGCTTAATTATTGCTGCGAGTTGTTCAATATTTATGCTTTATTTTACATTCCTGTTTGGTTTTGGTTGACCTTTACAGCACGTGATACTGTAAGGATTACTCTTATGCAATTTTTGTCATTTTAAATGATTCTAGATTTGAGTGTGATTCAATGCAGAATCTTTAAACTTTGTATGCAGGTCTATTTTAAAAGCCATTTTTGATTCAACATAATTACTGAAGCATCAACACAATTTTTGTGATACACTGTACTTTTGCTGCAATTCACTTTATTCTGATTCTGGGGAATCATCATTTAAATTTAGTTAAAATTGTTTCTCAGCACACATCAACACACACACTGTAGTTGTTACTGAAACTGATGTCTAGTTGTTACATCAATATAAACATAATTATTGACTATTAACAGAGAAATTTACATGAAATATTGATTTTAAGTTGAGGCAGTTATTTTATCACGATACATAGAACCAGGTTGCACTGCAAAACTGCAAAACACATTTTTAATAATTGCCCTCTAATTGTGAGACAAAAATTATGATCCCCTGATTGCAACACATCTGCTTATTCTCGCCATGATTATGTCAAAAGGAAATTCCTTTCAGAGCACCTGTGTACAGTGTCATCAGGAACTGAACTTCATCTGTACATTAACTTTACCTGAGGTGTCTGCAGAGATAACACAGCTTCTAGCTCAGAAAAAAATTAGCATTATAATAAGCTAAAGCACATTTCAGTAACATTAACAAACATTCCACAAGTCGACAATGTCACACAGCTGTCCGTGCAGGTTTTGTCCCAACACCCAGGTTTGGGAACCTCTGCTCTGGTTCGAACATCTTGGAAAAGGTTTAATCATGTTGAAAAATAATGTGATGAAAATTGTGGGAATTCTGCTGTGGGCTGTGTTTCCATTACAGTGAGTCCCAGTTTCTGAAAATAAAATCTACTGTTATGATGCAGTTAAAATTAAATGGTGTGTTCAGAGTGAGATTCAGACCAGTAACAAATGTAGCTCCTGCCATATTGGATAGTTAATAGCAGCCAGGAAGCATCGCCCAGGGGAAACAACTGAGAGCTAAGACCATCTACTGAATGCTTCTGGGCATTAGTGCCCAACCCAGAGCAAATCAACAAATGCCAACCAGTCAGCCAGAAGTCTCATAAACACAGTCAGAAATAGCAGCTTGTAGCACCGCCAACACACAGGCTGCCTAACACAGCTGAAATGTAAATATAGAAGTAGCAGTTTTCAAACACGTCTTAATTTTAGTTCCATTGCTAAAACACCTTGAAATTGTTGATTTTAGAGGTTCAGATTATTAACTTGAATAAACGCTGTTTTTTTTTCCATTCTGTATGCACACATATTAATCAGGAAAAACTGCAACTGAATTTTCTTTAACTCACAAATAACTGACATTTTGCTAATTAAATTCAGGCTGCTTATTACAGATCACACACATGCATGATAATATGACAGTGAGGCAACATAACAGCAAAATATACCAGTCCCAGATGATAGATGTAGCGATGGACAGAGCTTTTGTTTTGAAATAACAATAATTTTTTTTATCCTCTCAGTTCTCATGGTGCTTTTTCAAAATAATGGAGGTAAATATACACCTTAACTAAATGTCTGTACCGAACCATAAGCTCTGAATATCATCCTAACATTGTGAGTATTGTCTAAAAGTATTATAATGTAGCTATACATGCTGAGGAACGTCATTAAATTATATCTCTCAAACGGACACATATCTACTGTATGCTAATGTTGTACATATTACTCCTATAACCAAAGATTGAGTTACATACGTACATTGACAGTTAATAGCCTACATGTTCAGTGTTAACAGTCAGTACAGTTATATTGTCATTAGTATGTTGATGTTACCTACTGTATTTCTGTGTTAAGCCACAAACTTAGAGTTTTAATATATGCAATCCTGTATACGGACGTACTGTATTTTATTATTTGTTGTATAATGTCTTGTCTTTTCATGTATTGTTCCTGCATTTCATAAACTACGCAAATATGGAAACATAGAGTGAATGATGTCCACTATATCCTGCGAGGTGAAGGCATTAAATGTGTCACACGCAGCTGCAGTTACAGATCTTTTAAAGAATAGATTGACACCACTCTCACATTTTTATGTTAAATATAAAGCTACAGCCAGTTAGTTTAGATTAGCATAAAGACTGGAAACAGGGGGAAACAACCATCACAAAGCACATCTCATTTGTTTCAGCTGTATCAAAAATAAATTTAAAAAAACAAGTGTAAAAATGAGAAGTTGTGTTTTTTTTTTCCATTTTTTTGCCTGTTGTAGTTACTTCACCTCTTTAAAAACTATTACTTGTCATTACTAGACATAAGTGTAATGTGTCTTAAGATAGATATAATGTGTTAATTATTGAGCTTTAGAAATGTTTGGAGGTGAATTTTATTACCACTGGACAGAGCTGTGGTATCTGTTCCCAGTCTTTGTGCTAAGCTAAGCTAACCCGCAGTTTGCTGGTTGGCTTAGCTTCAGTTTGTGAGAGATGGGGAATGACATGTAGCCAAGGTGTCCAGTCGGACTCTCTGACACTGATGTACGTGGCCGGTGCCAGGGAACCCCTGTAGATTTATTTTACAGTGCAGACATTAGACTAAATAAGCAACTTTCCCCAAATGTGTATTCCTTTGACTCCATAGTGTTCCAGATGAAACGTGATGACGACCTGATCTTTGTCTCTGTTCAGGCTAAGATCAGGATTCAGTGGGTCTCCACTGGCTTCAGTTTCTGTATTACACTAATGACACAGCCTTGTTCACTTGAGGGTGAAATGGGAGACCACACAGTTCACTGAAGCAGAAACTGTTCACCCAGGGAGTCATTTTTTTTGCACCTGTCCCTCAGATTTACTTTCTTCTGGCAACATTCATTGTTGCTGGCTTTTCACCCTCATTTGGATCGCTGATCACGGGATCTCCCAGAGCAGAGGGAGCACCGTGGTCTGCATGTTTCAGAACAGTCAGTTGGATCTCAGACAACCTGACATGAAAAGTACAGTTTAGGTTTCACATTTCAGTTAAAAATCTCTTCATGTTGTGTAGTTGTAGCAATAAGCATAAACTTGTCATTATGCAGAACATGCTACATCACATTTCTTCATGGAGCAGTGAAGAATATTTGTGCAGAATCATTATTCAAAGTTAGTTTTGTATAGACGTTCTACCCTGCAACCACAGATGAGGTATGTGTCACAAAGTCTTCACTTTCACGTTGTGTAGTTAAAGCAGTAAGCATAAACATTGTAATCATCATGTGAAGCGTGCCACACCTTATTTAGCTACAGGACAGAGCAGCATTTGTCCAGAATCATTATTTGAGTGAGTTTCTTTTTGGACAGTCATCGGTCCGTCTGTGTGACGGATGCTGCAGTGAAACCTCACCTGCTGCCCTGCAACTCCTCTGCTGGATGAATGATTGAAGAGGTCTGCAGTCATGTCCACGCTCCCTGTTTCAGTAGCTGCTCTCTCATGTTACCATGTTTACCCACACTACATGCAACACCAGCCAGGTGTGTGTAGCTAGATTTAACCATTTTGAAAACGCAGCACAACAATACAGTAATGAATTCAGAGTGTCAAAGTATTTCGTTATTAAAAGGAAAGGAAAATTATTTCTCAAATAAAGTGGCAGTAGGAGGTATGAGAGGGTTAATGATAGCTGATCTGTGTGTTTGGCACATGTTTAAATAGAAAAGAGCTGAATGACGCATCCCCTTGGATATTAAATCACAGATTATAATTAGAACAAATGCAGCAGCCTAAAGAAAATCTCAGATCACTGAACATCACAGACGCAGATGGTATGAATGTAAGTCAGCGCCTGCTGACAATGAATGAGTGGCTGACTGTGACTGTGTTTTAAAGACTGAATTCTAAGTAAGATGAGTCATCCTCTCCTCAGGCCCCTCCCAGGAGGATCACATGAATGGTGAAGTGACTGAGTGTGCAGTTTAGTGAGTCCTCTGCCATCTAGTGGCCACCAAAACCCTGTTACATACTGGAGTATATGACGTTTGGATTGACTTGCCTTTTCAGAATATTCTAGTAAGTGTTTAGATTCCTCCTCCACAACAAAGATGTACTGATTTAAAGGTCAGAAAGGCAACGTTTTATTAGTTTTGGTCACAAATATGTATTCTTTTACAGGATAATTTGCTTTTCAGTGAATCTTGGTTATAAAAAATAAAGTAAATTACTTCCTAAATATCTCAGGCTATCTTAGGGTGACAAACACTACAACCTCCAGACCCCATGTCTTCACATCTTTAGTCACACAGCCTGAGCAAAGCCCACCATGTTGTTCCCGACGTCGAATGCGGTGTAGAACTGCCGCATGAAGACCTCACCCAGGATCCAGGTGCCAGGTGCAAAGCCCGTCCTGCACCCAGACGCAGACTGAGGAGAGAGGAGAGAGAATGTGACTGAAGGCAGCAGACTGATTTAATCAGCACAGGTGATATAAATACCCACACAGACCCACATGGCATACATAAAGAGTTTATGTGTTGCAGCTATTGGCTTTTTTTTTTTTCATTCTTAATAAATAATTCACATATTGAAATAATTTATATTTGATTTAAAATCAAACCCTCCAACCTTCACCAAGGTTACGGTGTTCATTTTTTGTTGAACCTGGTTTAGAGAGGTGGTGATTCAACTTTCATGTCATTTTGGAGGCTACAGTCTGTGCTTCTGGTGAACTGTATTGTGTTATACAGAGAGGTGCTTCTGCTATGCAGCCTACCCTCTGATACAAATGCAGTGGACAAAATGATAGAAACACAGTATAACCTTCATGTTGGCAGGATTTATTGCAGGACTGTTGTTTGGACTGTTGCAGGACTACATTAGTTTAGGCTAGCTTTTTACTAATAAACATAGTCACAATCTCACTTGAATATACCAGCTGTGGACCAGCTCTTGCCTGTATATCAATGGTTTACTTGTATTTGTTTAGCTTGACATCAGTGTTTAGCTGTATGTCTTTTACTCTATCATCCTTTGTTCAGTGTACTGAACAGAACAAGCGCTGGCTTCAGTCCTCGTACATGTCGGCATATGCAAACATACTTCAAGGTGATGCTGGTTTTGATTCATTAAACTATAAATTATTTAAAACATTTCTAAAAACAACCTTTGGGTTGCCAGGTTGTTAAAAAAAAAAAAAAAACCTTTGGCTGGTGTTTATCCTAAGCAGATTCTTTAATTTCCCAGAATTCAGAATTAAGAAGAATTAAAGAGATAAAAAGATACCCACATGAAATCCAAAAATCCTGACGACCTAAATGTTGTCCTTCTTTAAGGATTATTATGATTTATATATTCCTAAGTAAACACTCCTATGGCTCAATAAATGATTGATCAGCCGTGATAAAGCCTTTAGTTAGAACTATAATAGTACTTTAAGTATATCTTTCTAAAGTGGTGTCAAATATCACTCTGTGTTTGCAGTACAAACCTTAATGACATATGCTGATGGAGGAAGAGAGAAGCTGTAGCCGTTTATGTTGAACACAATGTTTGGCAACAGATTCATGTTACTGCAAGTGACAGCAGCCTGTGAGACAGAGATACGGCATGTTACAGTCAACTCAACATACTTAGTGTTATGCTCACTTTTAGATAAACCGCTGAAAACACTCACATCACCATACTGGCCTGGGGAGGCTCCCAACCAGCCATTGATGTTGTTAATGTCTTTGCTCGTGCCGGTGATCAGAGAAGTACCAGAGTCCACGACGGCCTCACAACCTCCAGAGCATGCGACTGTGTTCCCATTAATAGTGATGCTGAAACATAATGGAAGTATCAATAAGAAGATATCTGTTGTGTACATAACCATAAGCGTTGAATAGAAAACACAAATCTCCAAATAATGTCATGTCTGAAGTGGAAATTTAGTTACAAACATGACACGTATCATGAGAACTCTTGATGGAAAAACAACACTACCTTTGTATTTGGATGTTCCAAAAGTTAGTGGCATGATACAGTGGGATCCAGTTAATGTCTCCAGTGTAATATGAGGGGTCTGTTCCTCCCAGAATCAACACACTGCCCTCTACAGAACTGGAGGTATGGAGACACACCAACAAGCGTAAAAACACCATCCTTTATATGACAAAGTAAATACTTAAACACTTTTTTGAGACAGAATTATATTTGCTTGTCCTTGGCTCAAACGAGACCTCACCTGCTCAGGTACATGGAGAACATGTTCTGGGGGATTTTGCCCTGGTTCCACATGTTGTCAAATATAGGTGTGCCTCCTTCAAGGGACATGCTAGGGAAAGCCAGACCAAGGATCCCATCCCAGGGCACAGATCCCAGGAAAACTGCCTCTGTTTCAGTGAGGCCAAACACCTGGTGCTCCACGTACAGATCACTTATCTGAAAGCATGTGCAAAATGTACATGATATAGGAATCAGAATACACAGTCCAATATCTGTGATTGTGGCACATCAGAAGTTTTGTCGTGGATGTTTTATCTTCACCTTCATGATGTCATATCCTGTACTCCCTGCTGCGAATCCACTGTTGTATGAGATGTAGAAAGGGTTTGTACCAGCCTGAAAAGTGGAGGATGCTGAGCTGTTGAACTTTCCATGACGGTCTAAGGACAGAGAGAGAGAGAGAGAGAGAGAGAGAGAGAGAGAGAGAGAGAGAGAGTCCTAAGTCAGCACTGGAGAGAAATATGTGAAAGTACAGTTCATCACTTTCCCAGAGCCAACAGCCCAGAGTATGAATATATTCAGTTTCCTTTCATATATGACAAAGATAAAGTGGCAGATTCTCATATTTGAGAAGCTGTAACCAGCAGATATTTGGCATTTTTGCTTAAAAGAAAAAAAAAAGATAAATATGGGATTGTCACTATATTAAATTCTCCTGACCTTGAACCATTTCCATTATACTCACCACAAGCAGAGCTGGTGCATCTCACGGAGGGAACCCACAGGTCGGAGGAGCCGGTGTCAAAGAGAACTCTGAAGAACTGAGGTGGAGTCCCGATGCCAATCACGCCATAGTATGTGGTCTGTGCCCGAGATCAGATTATTTAGTTAGTTCATGCATTTCACGATTGCACAGGGCAGAGTATACTGTACAGTGTTTTTCCTGTTACGCACATCTGGGTCAAAGGTCATGGGCACCACACTCTGCTCATTCCTGGGGAGAAACTTTGCAGAGGGGTTATATGGAAACTTCCTCCTGTACTCCTCAAACAGGCCTCTCTCCTCCAGCAGCTGCCTGGCCGATTTCCCTCTCATCAAGGGAATCCTGTACAGACAAACTGGATCCATTAGGGCCACACAAACCCTGCAGCACATTCATTATTTCAGCTCAGTTTATCCAACCTCTGAGAGCATACTCACAAACATTTTTGAGAATATGTCAGACCTCATAACTTATCCTAAAAAGGAGTTTCAGCCTGGGCAGTGCTCTGAGCCAGAAAATTTCAAGAACTTGTTTCGTCTGCGTGGGGCACGTTTGGTGTTGTTCTCTTTCAGAAATGGTCACTGATTGTTCAAGAACAAGACCAAAAGTCTTAAAGAACTTCTCAAGGGCTCTGGCCAGTGAAATTAATGACATTCTTCCTGATGCAAATATGTTGGAACCCTGAGCTGTACTGATAATTTTGTTATTCTTAAAGGCTCGGCAGTAGTAGTGCTAAATGTGCTGGACAGATGAACAGACTCATAGTGAGTTTCACTGCTCAGGCATCTATGGACAAACCGCAGCAAGTGTCACCTGATGGAAAAATCTGTTCAATGCTTGATACTTGATTATTTTGATCTTAAAAGTTGTTGTTGTTGTTGTTGTTGTTGCTGTAGGAACAGAACACCATGAATAGTGTGGCTCCTCTGCTGTACAGAGACTGTGGCATGATGTCTGTTATTTGTGTGGATGGTGGTTTCTACCTTGTAAAATCGTAAACTTCATAAAAGGTCCTTTATAAGTCCAAAATTTTTTCTTCAAAGAAGTGAAAAAATGTGAAATGGTGTAATAGTGGTGAAATAAAATTGAGATCAAAAACGATGGCACTCATTTCTAGAAAACTTCAACAAAAAGCGCATTTTATAAACTGACTTTTTCAACACAATTTTTCTTTGTTTTGAAAAATACAAGACTGAAACTGATATTATTATATATAGAGACAGATGTTTTTGCAGTGTAATCTTACATCTGTGTTGTCTTAAAAGAGTTTTAACATATCAGGATTTGATTATATTAAATGATTTATAAATAATTTTAATATAAATGTATAATAAATCTCAGAGAACATCATCTTTCAGAATTTCTCAGCATTTCACCACTAAATCTTTCTCTGAGATTTTATAGCTACTGCTACTGTGAAAAACACCTTCAGATACCACACTCTGCAAAAAAAGTATTATAGCATATTTTGACCTTAGCAAAAGCAAATATATTGCTGGTTTGTTGTATATCTTACCTGAGAAGCCCCTGTGAGACAGCCAGAAAGGCCAGCAACACAACGGCAGACTTCATTATTTCCAAAATGACCCCATACAGTTCTCACACAAGGGTAGGTGAGGTGACCATAGTGTTATATATATATACAGCGGTCCAACGTAGTCTAGGCTCCTCCTGTTTACAGAAACACTTAAAACAGCTGAAGTGATAAGGAACCACTTAACAGAGAATTTAACAAGTGAAATAAGATAAAGAAATCAAAAGGATCAGGGTATGTTCTTAATGTCCTTTAATCTCTTTTCAGTCCATATACAGTCACATGACTGTATGTATGTTTACTCACCTATTGATTTAAAATAAACTCAGCCCAGAATCCAGCAACACCCCTAGCTGAGTTAAAAGCAGTGTGGATTGCTGAGTAAGACATGCTGTCCACAATGTGTTTCATCTTTTCTTTAGACTGTTTCTGTTCCTCTTTGTTAATAATTTATCCATATAAACCGCACTGTTGACTTTGTCTCAGGCCTGTAAGAATTACATCAACATTTAGAATAAAAGATTTAAAGTGATAAATAACACTTCAAATGCTTTTTGATAAGCACATATTAAAGACCTATAGTCCAACTTTCTTTTTTGTGTTACCATATCAACTTCAGCAACATTCACATACGAACCCTTTGATCTAATTATTTGATATTATTCTGCATATTGAAAGACCTGTCAATCAATTGGAGAGTGAGGAGAAGTCTAATCTAATATTTTCATTTGAGGTAGTGGAAACACTGTTTTACTTAGACCACAGACTGTTTTTCACAAACTGCAAACAGATTAGGAATTCAATGCCTCTTATTATTAGGCTTTGTGTCTATAAAGTCTTGACGTCCTCAAGTTTACAACACCACAGACAGTGAGAGGTTGACTGGTACACACCTCATTTTATACAGTCAACTAAAACAAATCTACAGATTGATTTCAGGACCTTGTAGTATAATACGTGATGAAAGGCAGGTGAGGTCTGACTTTTCCCACACTGTGTTTCTGTTGACTTTTCTCATCTACTGCTTGTGCTTAAAGCAAAATGTGAAGTGTTATTTGACTCTTAAGGTCCCTCCGTACTGAACCATAGTGTGCTGTCTGTACGTTTTACGTTATTCACTTCATTTAAGTTCTTTCTGTGGGGGTTGTCATCAAAACATACGTTGGTCTTCAATCTAAAATCTCTTTTCCTTCGTGTCAGCATATCCAAAAGCTGTTCCCACATTGAGGGGAATTTCTTAAATAATGTAAATGTGTTAATGGTTTTTAAAAGATAAAGATCAAAATACTGCAGACCTAATATTTAGTTTAGTGTTTAATGTCTCAAAATGAATTTCTCAGCTGTCAATAATAAATGAACTGGATAAGCTTATCACATTACTTATGAAAAAATACTGATACTATATCATTTTCCCTCTCTAAGCACGTCATCTGTTTGATATCACTACGTCCAACTCTGCCCTCTAGAGGACCGAGAGTCTAAAAACCAGAAATCTCAAGTCTACATAACACATTTTCACTAAGACAGGAAGAACATCACAGGAAAAAGGACACAGCATCACTGGGTGTTTCTAAAATATCTGCATTTATTTGAGGAGACATTTATTGTAATTTACAATACAAATATAAAATACTACAGGTATAAATACGATCAGTGCAAATCTAAATTGTACTCACCACAGTTTCTCTTGTCTGATGAATTCCTTGAATTGAACAACTTTATAACTTCAGAGTTCATTCAAGCTCATTCAGTCCTACTGCAGGTAAATGTTTTTTCAGAGACAAGAGAATACATGAGTTTTCTTTTTTCCTCACTTCTGTGTTGAGGGGAAGACCTGAAAAACTCAACAGTTTAATAAGACAAAAGTTTCATAAGAGCCAGTATTCATAATCAAAACATGTCCAGACACTGTGGGGTCCAGAAGATTAAAAGAAACCTAAGAAAAAATAAATAAATAAGTTAATTGTTTAAAATGTTTAAAAACTTCATGTCAGTTGATTATTTTAATTATAATAATAATAATAGCTTACTGTGCTCATAATTACATCACACATACCATTCAAATATACTGCAGTACAACAGTGAGCTGTTAGTGGATTAAGAAGCTTTTTTTAGTGCATGAACTCCCTGATCTGTGTACAAAGTCAACATCTGGATTTTCTGAATAAGACTATTACATTACGTCAAAAGATGCTTTTAAAATGCTTTTAAATTCTATGAAGTGCATCTAATTTTGACTGTCCAACACCTCGTCTCACTAACAGTACGAACAGTACACAAATACAGCACAAGCTGTTTATAGATGTTGTTCTTTATCTAATATCTTGTTTAAACTCAAATGTTGACAACTTTCTGTCAGACTCAAATAAAGCTCTTCTAAAACCAAAGGGGGAAAAAAACAAAAATTCTTGAATTTATGACGACTGGAGGGTAAAATCTGTTTTTAGTTTTACATGGGAGTGATGCACATTTATAGCCGCTATTCTTACGTCTATTACATTTCCCTTTAACATGTGCACCACAGAAATCCAAGTATCCCCTACCCCTTCGTATTCAGTGAACAATCCCCTCACCCCTACGTGATCAAACTATTGGCATTAGTATCAACAAAATTCTAACAATTTTATGGTACTTATTCTCGAGTATTCATAATTTTATGATACTTTATACGACTAAATTTTAGAACAGCATGTACTTTTTTGTACTCCACTACATTTATCTGACCGCTACAGTTGCACGTTACTTTGCAGATTATGATTTTACAAAGAAAACCTGCGATCACTTAATAAAGTACGATGTAGTTATTGATTAAATTATACCAAGCAGTAGAAATGAAACAGCTACAGCTTCTTGCACGTTAATGTATTAGTAGTAACACTCCAGTTATTTAACCTATAACAATCTGAATGGGCCATTCCGCATAACGTGTGCTTTTACTTTTGAAACTTTTAAGTACATAACAAACTTATTTTGTACTTTTCTGAAGGGAAATTTTGAATTCAGGGCTTTTACTTGCAACAAAGTATTTTTCAGTATTTTTTTTTTTTTAATCTGAGTACTTTTTCCACCACTGACTGTGACTCAGCTGTTTGATGATATTGAGTAGATGCTGCAGAAACTGCTGGTGCATTTAAGACAAATACTGCAAAATTATTTGTACTCTTACAAAAGTCCCAAAAACCATGACAGACTATACCTACTGGGAAAGTTGGATCAGCAACAGGGCTCAGCAGTCAAAAGTGGACCCTCACCAGCACTGACAGAAAGAAACTAACATATTTGCATAAGCACTATTAACCATAATGTTCGCCAATTTACCAATATTTACCACTACTGAGCTAATGAATTTAAGGAATGTTTGTTCTTTTACTCTCTTACCAGCCTTTAAGTTGGACCCAATACTGTACATCTGCATACATACCTAAGTCTGCTGTTTAGGCCATCTTAATACTTTACCTGTGGAACAGGTGCAGGTTGAGCCGGGGTGAGACTCAAACCTGTTACGCCTCACAGCTCCAGGAAACCTTGAATCCCAGCCGTGGCACTGTGTGGTCACCTGGGGCTGCAGCGAAGCTACTCAGGTCCCTTTAGTTTGGAGACGAAGCAGTGATGAAGAGTAGTTGCACTGTCTTGGTGATACACATCCTGCAGCAGATTCTGACTCAGTGACAGCAGGACACTCTTCACTTTGGTTTCATATGCAGTTTGGCACAGAATCTTTAAAAAAACAGTGCGTAAATCAGATCAACATATCAACTAAAGATTAGGATTCCCTGTACAGGAATCTGGCAATCTTTTCTCTTCTGTTGCTCTTCCTGTCCTTCCTTTTTACGGCAAATAAAGCAGATGCTGTCTCACTGTCTCAACCTCTTCTCCGACATAGGCTGAGACATGAATGAAGTCTGGCCCTAGCACAGAGATCTTCTTCAAAACTCCAATGCAAGAACAATAAGCAACTAAACAAAAGAACACTGCTCCTTCTCAAGCTGGCACAGACGCTGAACCAACACTCTGCCAGAGCCAGATGAGAAAGATGACGGGGGCCTTCGAATGCTGCCGTGTTTCCGCTGAGAGGCCGTCTGGTGGAGACAACCACGGTGACTTTGGCAAAACTTGGCGAAGTGCAACGTGGCAAACCAGAGGGATGAGCGCTCCGCTAGTTCTCAGCCACACCTCCGGACATACACAGGCCAGAGGCGACTGAGGAATAAGCCACATATCTGAAGAGACACAGTGACTCTAGATTTGCCTTTGCAGACGCACTGAAAAAAGTATTCTAGTATGGCCAAATTTCACATGAAAAGCTCTTCACAAAGACGTCATTCAACAAATGATGACCAACATGAAAACACAGAACTGAGAGGTTGTCTTCACTTCGATTCTCACACTTCCTTTCCTTTCTGCTGGGAAGGCTTCCTGCTGTCAAAGTGATAAAGCCTTTTGAGTTTTGATAGACAATTCCAAGAACAGAAAAGGTCACAAAAGGTGTCTTCCGAGGCACTTGTGTTTCCCACGAAAGAGTAAATTTATTGAGACAAAATCTATCAAGTGCATGCTGCACTTTGCGTTTTTTTTCTGACAGTTAGGTATACTTCTTAGGCCCATGAGCATTGATGTTGTCCATTTCTCTCTCCAGATATCCTGAGTATACAGAACAAACAATTTCTTTTTCCATTTGAAACACAGTACTCAAATCAAAGCACAAAAACAAATCATCAACAGTCCTTTGAGAAGAAGGCGTGTAAGGCCACTGCAGAACGGCCTCCTCTCCTCTGAATCATTCAGAGGCGTGTATCACACAAGTCCACTGGTAGTATAGCAGTATTTTCTACGTACTGACTCCTTATCAGCTATTAGAAATGTGCATGGTATACATATAGCTCTTAATTTATAGGTTACATGATCTTTTTTTAACAGTACATGCTTTGTTGGGGTAGTATTTGTCATTAGTGGATTATAACATAGGAGGAAAAAAGTGGAGAATTTAAATCAACCAATAACTGTTCAACCAAATTGAATGTGATGCTAATAAAACAAC